GGGTTCTTTGGGTGGCGTTTCCTGTGCGAGCAGGTGGTTAGAGGGCTCTAGCGCTACGTATTATTATTTTTTTTTTCGAAAATATATTTTTTTAAACATTGACCAACGCACGGTGTTATTGAACACATCCGATCGTTCGATTCACGACCTTGATAAACAAATATGTTTGTTTTTTTAAAGTCCCCCCTCCCCTGAAACAAGGCAAGTGGTGCGCCTTGGTTGGTTTGCCTCTTCTATTTCCTCATCAAACATAATCTGTCTTCCTAATTTCTCCTCCTTGTGTTTGTGTTTGCTCTCTTGTTACAGCTTTATTCTTCAGCGTTTATATTATAATGTGACCTTGCTGTGTCACAAGTGCCGTAAGACACTTTTTTAAAAAATCTCAAACTGTATTTTTCTGCCGTCCCCAGAAACAAGGCAAGTGGTGCGCCCTGCACGTGAAGGTGGCCTGGGAGATCTACCACCGACAGCAGAAGCTACAGTCGCACCGAGACGGTGAGGGGGGCGGAGCTAGCGGAGGGGGGCTGGGCAAGGGGGCGGGGCCTGAGGCCAAGCCCCTGGAGCCCCTGTTGAGGCCGCCCTCCCACCTGCTGCCCGGACACGCTCCCGGGGGCGGGCCCAGCATGCCCCCGGGGTCAAGGCCACCGGACATCGGCGCTCCTGCCCCCTCCAGTCTGCTCAGCTCGGGTGAGTGTCCGTAATACAGTATATAGCTTGTGTGTCTGTCTGTCTGTCTGTCTGTCTGCTGCGATGGTTCTAAGGAGTGAAATTGATGAACTAGTTGGGGGGGGGGGCTTACTACTGTGGGCTTTGTTTGTGGATACATCTTTGTTTACTGCACGTCTGCGATGGGGGGTTAGAAGGCTCTCTCTCTAGATTCCTACTTGTTCACTTTCTCTCTGTTGTTTCTCTCTGTCTGTCTTACTGTTTTCCCCAGCACTAAATGACCGTTATTATATCAGTGTGCTGCTCTTTTCTCAAACTCAAAGCTCGTCTGTCGTGACTGTCAAAGGAGCGAAGTAACTGATGATTCAGCCATGTGAGGGGGGGGGGGCATTACTGCTCTGTGATTTCTTTCTGGGTTGATCTTTTAGATCTTTGTTTTTTGCACATAATGGAGTATAGATTTACGCTTTAGTCTTTTGTGCTGGACTGTTGTATCCTATTCTAAGACAGTGGAAGTAGCCGGCCTCCTAAAAAAATATGAGTTGTCTCTTAAAAGCCATAAAATAT